ACCTGACGGAGCGGCTGGAGAGAGGTGGGTCTGGTTCGACCAGAGGTCGCGGAGCGGGTCGCGGGGGAGGCTGACACAGCTTTGCGGAGAACTCTGAGCACGGCCCTTGCTTTCTCACCCAGCAGTTGGAAGCGGTTGCTTTGCCACCCTGGACCCAATGGGGAGCAAATGGGGCCCTGTGACCCCTCCGCTCCGACCCCTGTCCCTCTTTCAGGCCTCCGTGGCTGGGCAGCCGTTCCTGGCCTCTACTCGTGGGCCTTTGACTACTCCAGGCTCCCTGCCACTGACCATACCTTTGGGGTCCGCCTTTCCTCTCTCAAGCCCGCCGACATCTCAGAACCCAGCTCCTGTCCTCTAGAAAGCTCATACCCTTGGACTCTGCCATTGGCTTTTTACCGCCCGAACACACAGCCCAGCTTCTTGGGCACCGATCCTCTGAAACCTCTGATTACAGCCTCTGTCCCCAGACTCCTGACCCTCTGACTGTCTGACTGCATTGGTCCTCTTCTGTCGCTCACTTGGCATCCAGCTACCCTGTTTTTCACTGTTGTTCAACACCTTGCCTCTGGCCTCTCCAGGCCCTGTCCCTCTCCCGTACTCCCTTTACCCCCAGCCCTTGACGTAACTCCAAAGACTCGGAATTTTGGCCCTCCTGACCACTTTCTATTTTGACCCCTTGGAGTCTCATTTCCTCCCCTCTAACCCAGACATCTCGGAGCTCTGGTGGCTTAGTATAGTAAGGCATTTGCTAACCAGAAGGCTGGTGGTTCAAACCCCCCAGGCACTCCTCGGAAGAAAGGTTGGGCAATATACTTCTGTAGAGATACTGCTTTGGAAACCCAAGGAGGAGTCGAAATGAGTCGAAATTGACTCGACGGCAGTGTTTTGTTTTTTTTTAACCCAGATATCCAGCCTTCATTATTTGTGATGTACAGCCCCATCTTCTTGGCCTTCTTAGATCTGCCCTCTTCTTCAGTGCTTTAGTCCTTTCCACTTTTGTTCCTTCCGTATCTCTGAACCTCCTGGGAAGACAAGCTGGATGGGCTCATTTCTCCCTCACACCTCCGAAGTGTGATATGAAAGTGCCTCTATTCTTTAGCTACTATGGAGCTCCCAGTAGACAGTGGACTCTCCCATCTCTGCAGTCCCATTCTTACTCACCCATCCCATCAGTCCCAGCTCAGATACCACCTCCTCCATGAATCTCCCCAATCTCTTCAGGGAGATATGCCTATGCCATCTGGACTCCTGTTTCACTATTTGCTTTCTTCCTTCTTCCTGCCCTCCCTCCCTCTTACTACTACTGTAGTGTACAAAGCACTGGCCTTGGAGTTATGGGCATAGGTCCCAGTTCTGCCAGTTACCTGCTATGTGCCCTTGGGCAAGTTACTTAATTTCTCTGAACTTCAGTCTCCTCATCTCTAAAATAAAGATGATAGTTGTGAAAATGAAGTGAGATGATTCACATATAGTGCTGAGTCCAGGGCCTAGCACTTGGTATTAGTAAAAAATGTTAACTGTTATTATTGATATCTATACAATGTGCCAGGCACCATGCTAGGTACAGAGGAGTGGGTACAAAGGTCACTAAGACTAAAGCACATTCCCTGTCCTTCTGGAACTTAACCTTCTACACTCTACAACAGTTTCTGGAGTTCATGGCCTAAATGACTTCAACAGACCATATATACTGATTGAGGATGGGTACCATTATCCAAAATGTTTTTGCTCTTATTTTGATTCGACATTCAGCACAGGATAGAGTCAGAGCCTGGTAAATTATAGGTGCTCAGAAGAGCAAGAGAGTGGAGGCTATTGTGGCTCCTCACATAAAGAGATATTAGAGCCCTAGCCACCTAGGTGTGGATTAGGGGATGAACTAAGATCACATCTATCCATTCTTTCATTTGATAAACATTTGCATACTAGTCATTATGCTGGGGAACAAGATGACTAGGACCTAGTGCCTGTGCTCAAGTTGCTTACAGACTATTAGCAGATGCATACACATAAGCAAGTAAATTGCTAATCACTTTAAAAGCAAGTACAAGATTCTGTGGTTACACTAAGGAGGAAGTAGAGAGGAATCGGGATTATTGAGGAACAGTGGGTCAGAATAGACATAAATAAGCATGAGATGGGTTTTGGAGACAGAGGACTTGTCTTCATTTATTCAATTCATTCAACAATTATTATTATTATGCATCTACTATTGATGGCCAGAGTCCCTGGGCGGTGCATATGGTTAATGGGCTCAGCTGCTAACCAAAAAGTTGGAGGTTCAAATCCACCCCCCTCCAAGAAGAGCCTTGGAAGAAAGACCTGGCAATCTACTTCTGAAAAATCAGCCATTGAAAACTCTACGGAGCATAGTTCTACTCTGACACACATGGGGTTGCCTCAGTGGTAACTGGTTTAGTACATGCCTGCCATTCATTACTTAAGGAGTTTGGGTCACATTAGAAAATAAAACAAAATGATGATCCTGACTCTCAGGGAACTTACATTTTAACTGACAATAATTAATGAGCATAATAAATAAAGAATGTTAGAGGATGAGAAACGCTATGGGGCAGGAGGACTGAGAGTGTGTGATGGGGTTGTGATTTTTAAAAGGATGGTCAGGGAACTCTGTATTCAGATATCAGGGAATAACTTATTTCTGATGTTTACTTGCATTTTTTTTAAAGTGAAACAAGCCTATAGTTCACATTGCTTATATAAACTCTTCAAGAAACACTCTCCAACAAGAATTAGTAAACTATAGACCATCTTCTTCTTCTTCTTCTTCTTCTTTTTAATAAAATTTTATTGGGATACAGCCACATTCACTTGTTTATGTATTGTCTGTGGCTGCTTTCATGTTACAGCACCGAGTTGAATGGTTGAAATGGTTAAATAGTTGTGACAGAAATGGCTTGGAAAGCCTGCTAAATTTACTACCTGGCCCTTTTCAGAAAAAGTTTGCCAATCTCTCTCTGTCCATATTTCACATTTCAGATTATATATAGTCTTGTACTATTTTTTAATTAAAAATTTTGTTTTCCATTAACAAGATCATGTAAGGGCTCTTTCTTCATTCTTGTACTCTTCACAGAGCTAGGACATGGTGTGTTCAACAACTGTAATAGCAGCTGTCATTTACTGAGTGGCTAGTATATGCCACACATTATACCGAATTGTTACAGATACTTTATCTAATATAAAGTCCTGATGTGTAGGGAGCTATCACAATTTTGGTGATGGGGGTATTGAGGCTGTAAGTGCTTAAATAACTTATGGAGAGTTATAAAAGTAGTATGTCACCCTTGGAATTCAATCCTAAATCTGTCTTACTCAGAGCCCTTTCCATTACTGTATGTTGCTGTTTTCTAAAAATATTTGTCGACTTGAAGGTATTATCAGTCTTTCATTTTTGTCATCAGTGTCCTATCGTAGTCTGTGTTATCCTCCCACATTACTTTGTTCATGTCCCTCTGGACAGTGGCTTCACTTTGTCCACTCTGCCTTTTGAAAGGTTATTTTTCTTCAAGGCCCAGAGGAAACACCCCATTGTCCTCTCATTAGAAGTACTTTCTTCTTTCCCTAATTCCCTGACCTTGGCTATAAGAAACAAAAGAAGTCTGTCCAATTTAATAAGCATTTACTGATGTTTTGGACACTGGGTGTATGTAGCTGTGTGTATGTGGGAGGGGAGAGTGTATGGTATCTGTGTCTGTATGTGTCTTTATATGTGGTATGTGAATGTGTGGCTGTTACATGATATTAAAGTATTGGTGTATGTGTCTGTGATGAGAGACTGGCTGTGTGTGGTATGTGAGTGTATAGCTATGTGTGTGGCTACATGTGTGGGAGGGCTTTGTATAGTATTGTATGTAGCTGTGTGCATGGTGTGTATGTGTGCAGTGTATATGTGTATATGTGTATGAGATATATGTGATGTGGATGTGTGTGGCTTTGTACAGTGTGTGTGATGTGAGGATGTTATATGTGGTATGTATATATATATGTGGCTGTGTGTGTATGTGTGTGTGACTGTGTTTGGTGTTTGAGTGTGTGTGGAGGTGGGCACTGACCAGTCAGAACAGATATCAGCCCAGGCCCTAGAGTAGGTTTTGAAGGCCTTATCTGTGCTAGATATTATCTTTTCAGTTGCTAGATTATGGGACTGAGAAGGGGTGTGGTGGTGGAACACTCAAGAGGGTTCAAAGCAAAGCCTTGTAAACAGCTAGGAAAGCCTTGTGTGTTAGAGGTTCTGTTTTGTTCATTTGAAAACAGGCATATGGATGGATACTTCTAAGAAAGATTTTTCAAAAAAGATTAAACATAAAGAGAATTTCAGTTAACCTACAGTTAGGCAGAAAAGTTGACCTTATCCAAATAGAGGTAGTCCCCAGTTTATGACATATTCGAGTTACAACCGTCTTTTTTTTTTTTTTTTGTACATCTTATCATTAGTAATATGTACTACATACAGTGTTGTACCATGTAATTTGTTGATGTTATCACTCAGATGTCACTTTCTGATGTCCAAAGATCAGATTTATAAAGACACTGATAATAAAAGGCAGTACTTATAAAAAGCAGGAAAAAAAAAAGGTACTCGACTTAAGATGGAGTTAACGGAACTGAACCCCATGGTAAGTCAGGGACTACTTGTGTAGAAGCTCCTTTACATGCACATGAATTAGGGTCTAGATTTAGATTGTCATTGATTAAAGAAAGTAACATTATTCATATTGGACAAATATCATCTGTTGGTGGTGGACAAAGCAGTGCCATTTGTTGTTGCTTTTGTTTTGGTCCGGTGAGTAGCTTTAAATCCCTGTAAAGTTTGTCACTTAAAAGTTTGTAAGTAAGGGCATTCTATCTAAGCATTCCAGTTAATTGAGGTTTTTTCTGGTGGTGGTTCCATCCCTTCCTTCAACCAGAAAAACAATTCCCAGTGGTCTGGCTTGACCCAAAGAATGAAAGTGTTGGCCATTTGTGTTCGTTCTCAGGATTCAGAGATGGGCAGTGAGAAGGAGCAGAACCCAGAGCATCACCTCCCTGAGGAAGGGGAACTGGGTAAGCCTTGGAGAGTGGATGACTCAGATGGGGAGAAAGAGCACAAGCGGGAGAACCTGTCGGAGGGGCCACAAGGAACCTACCCAAACAAGCTGTGGGGGAAAGTCACTCCAGCTGGAGAGCCAGGGGCCCCCATTGCTCACCCAAGGCCCGAGGTGGAAGAGAAGCCCTTTATATGTGCCCAGTGTGGCAAGACTTTCAATAATACCTCCAATTTGAGAACACATCAGCGGATCCACACTGGTGAGAAGCCTTACAAGTGTTCTGAATGTGGCAAGAGCTTCTCCAGAAGCTCTAACCGTATCCGGCACGAGCGGATCCATCTAGAAGAGAAGCACTACAAATGTCCCAAGTGTCAGGAGAGCTTCCGGCGGCGCTCAGACCTCACCACGCACCAGCAAGATCACCTGGGCAAGCGGCCATACCGCTGTGACATCTGTGGCAAGAGCTTCAGCCAGAGTGCCACGCTGGCTGTGCATCACCGGACCCATCTTGAGCCAGCGCCCTACATTTGCTGTGAGTGTGGGAAGAGTTTCAGCAACAGTTCCAGCTTTGGTGTGCACCACCGCACGCACACAGGCGAGAGGCCTTATGAGTGTACTGAGTGTGGGCGGACCTTCAGTGATATCTCCAACTTTGGGGCACATCAGAGGACCCACAGAGGGGAGAAGCCCTACAGATGCACTCTATGTGGGAAGCACTTCTCCCGGAGCTCAAATCTCATCCGACACCAGAAAACTCACATGGGAGAGCAGACTGGCAAAGATTCCAGCTGAAGTAGAGACTCATTTAGAGAGTGAGAGAGAGAAAGACCCCAGCCTAGGGTAGGAAGATCTTTAGGATCATCTGTGCTCCCCTTGACCTCAAGCCCAATATCCTACTTTGGAGAGTAGTTTCCTATTGCCTCTGAAGTCAGAATCTCCAGAAAGTTCTGAAAAGGGACTCTGGATAAAAATCTTTGCCTCTTTCCAGGCCAGTTTCTTGCCTTAGAATGTCAGAGGAAAGACCCAGCCTTGGCCTGACCTCCTTGGGATGAAAAAAAAATAGGGTAGGCTCAGAATATGCTCATGTCATTAGGGCAACAGCCCCCTGGCCTTTGAGGCAATACCTCTAAGATGGGTGTCACTGTCTAAAGGTCCTCCAAATTACATAAGAACTTGAGATTAGGGCACACTGCAGTGGCTATTAGCTTCTACCTGCTGTGCCCTCATCTTTGCTTCCAGGTCTCTGGGCTGGTAGGAAGGGCTTTCCCACTGGAAGGGGCCTCCTTGACCTGGAGAAGGGATTTGGAGTCCTGCCTTAGGAATTAAAGGGAAGACCTCAGGGAGACAGGATCCAGGGACTTTCACACTCCCCCATGTTTGTTACTTGTTCCTCCCTATCCCAGTCTGCATCTGTTTCCTCTGAGATCAGCAGTAAAACTCTTTAATGAAAAGGAGTTGTGTACTTATTTGGGGGTCATCACAGAAGTTGGAAGCTGGGGATATTGTCCCACTACAACTACTCTGGGAAGGAGTTAAACTCCAAGAAAGACAAAGTGGGGTGGTTGCTCTGAAAAGCAAAGGAAAGCAGGCTGAGTCTCTGGGCCCTTTGAGAAGGAAGAGGGAAAGGAAAGGAACTAATTGAACATCCACTGTGTGACATAAATCCTGCTGTTTGCATTCATGATCTCATTTAGTTTTCTCATCAGCCCTCAAGGGAATAAATTGAGGAAACAGAAGTGAGGAAAGTAGAAGTCACTTGTTATGAAGTCACACAGCAGCTGTGTGTTGGAACTAGAATTCAGACTTGGGCCTTCCTGACTCTAAGCTGATGCTGTTTTTACTACATTCACCTAGCTGGCTTTTGAAGGATGAGCCACATAGGGGGCTGGCATGGGACCAGGTGATTCCCTGGAGATGGGAGCCACTTGGCCTTCTGATAGGACCCTGAGCCATTAGGTGTGTGGTTAGTCAGTGCTATACATCAGAACCATTTCAACTTTAGATGATTGATCGAGCTCTTTCTCTGTACATCAGAAAAGTAGTAGTGCCAGGGAAAAGAGGGTGAGAGGTGGGAGAAGATGAAAGATAAACCTTAAGACCAATAATGAAAGTCTCTGTCTTTAGTGGCAATAATTCAGCCCCCAAGGTTAGGGCAGCTTGGCAGGTATCATGATGGCTTCCTATGCCTGGCTTCACATGGTAGATTTCACTATATTCCCCAAATGGAAGTTTAGTGTTCCTCTACCTTTCCTCCAACAAATACAGAAGACTCCACTCTACCTCTCTGCTCTCCCAGAATGGGGAGCCCTCTTGTAGGCAACTGGCAGAATGTTGTTCTGGCTTGGAGCTGACACCATGCATGACCTGACTTATCAGATGGGACCCTGCCTGCCCAGGAAGGGATGTGCCAGTAGCTATATACTTACTATCTTACTGAATTCTCACAACAACACTGTGAAGTAAGAGTTAACCCCATTTGATAGATGTGGAAATGGACTGACAGAGGGAAAGTGACTTGCCTAAGATTACCTAGCAAGTAAATGACAGAGCCAAGAACTGAACCCACTTCTATGGGTTCAAATCTAAAGCCTGTGTTCTTTGAACTATAAAAGAAGACTGCCCTTACATTTGTTTGGCACTTTACAGTTTACAAAGCACTTTTTCATATACATTTTCCTGCTGCTTCAAAATATCTACATAAAATATTTTAAACATACAGTCACTCAACCTTGCACATGTGAATTGGCACTTAATAATAAAAAATCATCATATTCAAAATACCTACTGGGTGCTAGTTATTGTACATACATTAACTCTGATCTCTATAACTATCCTGCAAGGTAATACCCTCATTTTCAAGATAAAATTTGAGAGGTTAGATGACCTGTCCAAATGGCAGAACTGGGATTCAATTCAGGTGTGTCTGATGCCAACGCCAAGCTCTTTTCATTATGCCCACTGCCAACTAGGTGTACTGGTCCCCTCTGGGGAGCTTGGAATCTCCTTCCAGAACTGGAACCTTAGTGGCAATTGCTGTGAAGTCTGCTGCCAGTCAGGCTCAGGATCACTCTTCCATGCAGCTACTTTACCTTGGAACATGACTCCCTGGCCAACCTTACTTGCCCTTTTTTGACCAAGTTCATAGGCTAGTGTTTCTATGTTGGTTCAGACTTTTGAGTCCTGATTACTCCATTTATTCACTCACCTGATTTCCTTTTTTATTTATTTTTTTAACTGCTTTCTTTTCAATTCTATATTGGTTTTCTAGTGCTGCTATAACAGAAATACCACAAATGGATAGCTTTAACAAACAGGAATTTATTCTCTTATAGTTTAGGAGATCAAAGTGTGGGTTGTAGGGGCTGGGTGAGGGCCCCTTGACCTTAGGCATCAGCTCTGCCTTCTGCTCCAGTCCCACTGGCGCTGGAGGCCTTTTCTGTCACACACAGCTGACGAACCCAACATCGGCAAGTAGAATGGCACAGTCCCAAGATTAGCAGACAACACAGTAGGCCACTAGTTCAAGTCCAGGAGCAATCCCAAGATTGGCAGGCACCATGGCAGGCCACTGATGAGTTGGCCAAATGCAGAATCCAGATGTACCAAGAAACTACAAACCTCTCCCAAAGTGTTTCCTTATGTACTGGAAGCAGGCCACACCCCAAAGGCAGCTTCTTAGCTTCTCACAGCAGATTCTACCATGAAGATGATTACAATCTTATCATGGAGAATAACTACATCCAGCTGCCCAGCCATTCAAAACCATGACCCAGCTGTCACACAACTTTAACAACCATATCTTCCTTCCTTCCCTCCATACTGACATGAAGAAGCATGGCCTCTGTATTCTATGAGTACAGGAGATTGGCATATAAACTGAGTTACAGGTAGTTGTCATTAGAGTTGTATCCAGGGTGCTTGCTATAGGAGATCAGAGAAGGGCCCAGAAGTGAATGAGATATGGTCCTTCCTGCAAGGAGCTCATAGAAGAGAAAACTCCCCTATGGACAAGGTGCTAGAGGCACACAGATGGGATGGCTAACTCTTTAGAGGGGAAAAGACTGAAGTGATATTTGAATTTGGTCTTGAAGAATAAGTAGTTGTTTACTAGGTGAAGAGAGAAGATTATTCAGATGGAAGGCAAGGCTTAATGTTTTAGTGAACAGCAAAACATTAGATGTAATGCCTTTTGTGAGGAGGAGATAAGGCTGGTAAGGTAGATAGATGGGCCAGATGAAGGGTGTTGGATGCTGGGCTAAGAGATTTGGACTATGGACAATAGAAAATTTAAAACAGAGGAGTGGCATAATTACATTCACCCTTCAAAAGAACACTGGCTAGAGTGTGGGGGGGGTGAACTAAAGGGGCTCAAAGTTGGGAGAATTCTGTGTGTGTAAGCCAAGTACCAGTTGAGGCTTACCTGACTCACAGAGAACTGTGTATGACTGCCTCAGAATCTAGATGTCTTAGGCTGACTTCTCTAGAGAAGCAAAACCAGTGAAATGTGTGTGTGTGTGTGCGTACACACACACACACACACACATATAGACAGATTTATCTCAAGGAAATGGCTCACATGGTTGTGGAGGCTAGGTAGTATGTCAGTGGGTCAGGTGTCAGGCCAGAGTCTTCTGACTCACATGGTTGCAGGGGCTGATGAACCCACAATTGGTAGGTCACATGGCAGGCTACTGGCTCACAGAGCTGCAGAAGCTGGCAAATTCTAGAATCAGCCCATCAGACAACAGGCTGCTAGCTCACGTCCCAAGAACTGGAGATCAGATGATGTCAAGCCAGATGCAAGATCCAGAGCAATGGAGAGCCTTGCCAGAACATCCATATATATTTTGGATGCAGGTCACATGCCCAAAGAAACTCCCCTTACAGCAGAGTAAGAATGTGACTTGAGTAAGGGCGTGACTTGAGTAAGGGTGAGACTTGAGTGATGCCCTCTTCTAAGGCTGTGACTCAAGATATACCCTACACTAACCTGCCTCATTAACACATGGAGTTTAGAACTTAACAACAGATAAAATGGAGGATAATTACATAATATCATAAAACGGAGGACAACCACACAATACTTGGAATCATGACCTAGCCAAGTAACATTAACCGTCACACTTGCCAGTTCCACAGAATGGGAAAGTGAAAACCCTCTGCACAATTCCTACAGATTCCTGAGATTTACATTCTCATGATCTCTTGCTTGAGGAGCCTGTGATCTGTACAAGCCTCTGTTTTATCCCTGTTAACCCTATCACTCAACTCTGTACCTTCATCATTTTCCACAAGAAATTCTACCACATTAAGCATTTTCTAAGTTTAGAATTCCTTTAGAGACTGGGAGTCTTGGGGAGAGGTCACATCATGGAAGCTACTAGCTTCTCTTTCCTCCCATCTCTACCCTTACCTCCTACCTCCTAGATTGCCCTCCAAACTCCAGATTGTTTTTCTCACTTATAAAAATACTATTTCGTTTTCCTCAGTTCCTCCTGTCAATTTGCATGCCCAAACCCATCAAGAAACTCAGCAGAACAAAACCAAAATCCACTGCTGTAGAGTTGGTTCCAATGATAGTGCCCCTACAAGACAGAGTAGAATTGGTCCATAGGGTCTTCCAAGGCTGTAAATCTTTACTGAAATAGACTGCCTGATCTTTCTCCCAGAGAGCGGCTGGTAGGTTCAAACCTCCAACCTTTTGGTTAGCAGCTGAATGCTTTAACCACTGCGCCACCAGAGCTCCTTCACTAGAACAAAGGCCTCACCATATAACAGCATCCGCCCACCCCAGAAAGCAACTGAGGTTGTAAGTAGTAAATACAAACAAACTAATAGCCCCCTTGGAGATTCACAAAGCAGGTATATTAAAGGTTCAAGAAGCAATCTAAGCACT